ATTTGTTTACACGGTGCGTCTGGGTGGACGATCCCTGCTACCAGAGGCGTACGTGCCAAGATGGCGGACGAGGACTACATGCTGCCGAGTACAGTGACGTTCGTCGACGGCAGGGTGAGTAAATAATGAAAAACATAACCAACCGATTTTTTAGACCAATGTGATGAGAAATTTATAATATTCGTTGTACTTTCTGAAATATATATTATTTCAGAAATCTGCCTAAGGCTTAGCCCTATCCTGTCGTGTTAAGCCACACCCAAAATTCCAAACACACGTGCTTTGATTAAGCCTTGATTAAGGTTTACATAGCTTCAGCATTTGCCATAAAATAGCGATCAATTTGTTACAAAACCATATAAATTATACACCACTGTACTCACAAAACTTCAATCTATCTCCGTATTGTAACGGAATTTTAAGTTATGTCTTTATTTTCGAGAAAATTTAGTCCAAACATAAGGAATATTTTGTTGATGTTTGACCATCAAAATCTTAAAAATAAAGAAGTTGTCTAAAAATGTGCTACAATACGGATATAGTGTAATCTTTTATCTTTAATTTCCTTCTTCATTTGTGTAAAAATACCTAGCCAGTTTGACATAAAACGTTAAATCCGAAAGCTTATTTTGCTCCTTTTTCGGACTATTGAAATTGACTCTCAAAGTTAGCCACATACAGTTGACTCTTCAGACTTTAAAGAGTTTTTAATTTTTCTGCATGAACATCTGAGTTTATTATTTTTTTAGTGACGGTATCTTTTGAATCTCTTTGAGTTTTTCTGTCGTAATTGCTTATTCGCCATCATTTTTATTGTCAACAATTCTTGATTTGGAAAAGCTGATCTGTGCAGGCATATTAGCACGTGTGTGGGATTTTCCAGCCGACTGTGCAAGCTATTGACCCAATCTGAGCGAAATAAAACTACTTAAATTTGGCCTGCGTAAACTTCGAAGACTGGACGTGTGTGGTGCTCTTTGAGTTCATTTTCTTTCAGTCCATAAACAAAATTTAGTCTATTATAACTTAAGACAAAATGTCTAGGTTAAATAAACAGATTCTATGTTAATTTATTGAATTATAATTTTGAAAAATAACATATTTGGAGTACAGTGATTGGAATAAAAAAATATTTATTGCCAGCGAACAGAATGAAAGACAGAACTCTATACAGGGTGAGTCTTAAAGAAGTGCAAATATTTTTGGAGCTGGTAGATCTCGATAAAAGAAACATATTTCCTCTTTACCGTTTTTCAAATAAATTCAAAATAACCGAGTTATTTTACTTTGAAAATTTCACAAAAATAAAGATTTTTTGCTTAAATTTTGAGAACCACTGGATCTTTTCTATATTTCTTAACTAAAAACATTTCCATTTTTTTTTAAATTGCAAATTTTAAAAAAATATATTGCTAAAGTCGAAATATACTAACGCTTAAACATTTACACTTATTTAAGACTCATCCTGTATAGGGAAGTCATTTTCACTGTAAAAAAAGTGCTTAAGCTGTCATTGATGCGTCATTTTAGTAAATGTAGCCAAAAGTGTGCTATAAAACTGCGTGTGTGTGCAGGCAACTCGTCCGCACAGTCAGCCTGTGCTAAAAAACTAAGCGTCTGTGGTGTCCCCTAAGTAATTCTTTTTGCCAGCCAAAGATTAATCAGCTGAACATATACAATAAATCAAGTTTAATAATTTGTCACGAAAAATATTCATTATGCAATTAGTTAAGCTATTTTTAACTAATGCTCAATTTTTCTTACAAATAAGCATGTCACCTTAAATGAAAAATGCTTTCTAATAAAGCGAAAAATAAATCATGTGTTTTATTCTAATATAAAAGAAAATTATTAAGTTTAAAAATATAATTCTCTTACAAAATCATACCAAATGATTTAATTTTTGTAAAAATACCCTCAAATATTTTCTTTTTTAAACCTCTTCCTAGAACGAGTCAAGAAGTTGATTCTATTTTACCACGACAGCTTGCCATCAATTCTCACCATTTTCCATTAGAAAAGAAACCCTGTTACCAATTTTCTTTATGTTTATTTCCGGGATATAAAAAAATATATATAATCAAGGGAGAAAATTCTAGTTTGAATAAAAATCCCCTCATTTTCTTTGTGAGACGATGTCGTCAAGAAATTTTCCGAGGCAGTTTGAAAATTTACATAAAGTTTGAAAAAGGTTCAGTGGAAAATAGAAAAAAAATCACTACCAATTTATATTAATATGAACTGAGACTGTAAAGGCCGTCGCATACGCTCAGTTTTTTCGTACGGACCGCCTGTGCAAACTTGATTTGTGAGAGACCTCTCTAAATTTTGAGAACCATTATATTTAATAAACTACAATGATATATTTTTTCTTTTTTTATTTTGCTAATCAAAAAAAAAAGATTCATAAATCCAAGTTTTTATGCACTTCATAATCTTTGTAATTAGTTAAAACTGTAAGAATGTTTAAATTTAGTAATCAAATTATCCAAAAAGTTTATCAGTATTCAAATTACTGAAATTTTTGTTTACCAGCGTCAATATTTTGATGTGAGATATAGTTCAAAATAAACACTCTGGTGAAGTATTATTCTTATCTGTATTAATTAATGTAAATATGTAATTGAGATAACTAAAAGTTATCTTAATTTCTTAAATATTAGTTGAGATGCTCAAAAAAATGTCTGGAATAAATCTATACTAATATATAAAATCCTTAAGTGACTGACATACTGATTAATCACGATCCTGCTCAAACCACTAAGAACCACACAAACGAACGTAAGAAGCTCAACTTTGGCATACAGGTTGATTCTAGGGTGTAGAGGTTCGATAAGAAGGGATTTTTCGAAATTCCAGTTCCAAGAGGATGAAACCACCCCTCAAATTTTACAATATTTTTTATTTAAAAAACGGTCAAGTTTCCGAAAAAACGCTTAAACACGTATATTTTATTTTGTTGTTTTACATATTTTAAGATTTTTATAAATTTATACAGGGTGTTTCATAAAATTTGACCATTGATTAA